AAAAATACATGCATCTCATCATCTGCAACTCGACCATACTGCCTTGTAAAAGTCCATTGATGATTTTAGTAGGATTTTGTTCTCAGCACATTCAAATTTGTACAGAACAAAGTACTTAATGACAATATTTCATTTATCCAGATCCAGGATGGGTTTTTTGATTGTTTCCTTAGAATTTTTTTTTTATTATGTTTTATATGCAGAAAATCTTTTTTTTTATTTTGAAACAATTTCTATTTTTCAACTTCCACTATCATTAGTGTAACTTTCCTCTATATCTCATCAGATTCATTTACTCCCTCCATTTACCACTGATTCAATTTTCCCATACTCTGTATTGTTTGATTTATAACTTCTGCAGTGCCATAAATTACAAGTGGAAAAATAATTTACCTTGCCAACGTATTGCGGGTCCGACCCCATGTACTCCTCCAGGACAAAGAACTGGTTCCACACCCAGCCCCTCTTGACGCGCTGAAATCCAGCCGCCCCATTCCTCATTGAGCCCACTGAGCTCCTGCCGCGCTCTCTTGCACCTCTGCTCCGTCCCAGTATGGATGAAGGTTGACGTGAAGAAAACACAGAACCCTCGTTGACAAGAATCCACAGGAACAGCAGCAGGCAGTTCCTTGTAAGCATTGGCGATTTGTGAGGTTCAGGTCCCCGAGTTGAAGTCCTAGTTAAGAACTGAGCTAGAGTGAAACTGCTGGTAGTGATTCGTCTAAGGAATAGTGAGGCGTTGAGGTCCAGGCTGTTTCAAGAGGATAGCCAGTGGTTTCTTGATCTCATTACCTAAAAGACACAAAAGTGTTTTTTTTATTAATAAATAATTTCTGCATTACACATACTGCAGTAGTAACAACCTCTTAAAATAAGGAATAGGTCCACTACAGGGTTGTCGCCTCATGTTCAGTCATAACCTACACCAAAGTGCTAATAGCTTTCCCTTCACAAACACCAATCAGTAATGGTTCACTTTTCATAAATACCAATATCTTAGTGGCACTTAGCAGCCTATATTCCTTTTCCCCACTGCTCACCTGCATTAGTTTTTAACTGCTCAATGATAAATTATAGTGCCTTCACTCACAAACATAAAAGTAAGTGCTGTAATTATGTGCCCTATGATAAATTACTTCTACACCATGCAGTTCTCATGGATACATGCTCTAATTAGCAAGAAAACTTGTCTCTGCAGGGAAAAACTGTGCCTTTATTTTCATTGTCAATTACAGGCCGCCACACACCGAGCCACAGACCTGTCAATGTTACAGCAATTCCTCACCCATAGAATAGCTGAAAGTCAGCATTTCAATGACACTTTAATGAGAGGTTCTGATGAATGTCATATTTTACCTTCGCCTAAGCTTGTCTTGGTGTATTTGATATAAAAAAAAACTACTGGTAAAGATTTTTTTTTTCATAAGTCATGAAGAAAAAACTAAGACAAAGCATGATCTACTACAGGGTGCATGTATCAAAATGAAATGTGCATTGAATGAAATGTCACTGTATAGGAGCATAGTCACAGTAATTTCTAAGTTTCGTTGCTGTTGCTGAAAAGTCATCCCTCATAAGGGGCACAGCTTGAGAATAAATGACAGCTGCTGACTAATCCTGCAGCATAACATTTTGACATGCAAGCAAGAATCTGTACAGTACACATCACACAAAAAGAAGATACAAATGTTTTTGCTTAGAACCCTAACCCAGGAGGTAGCGTTAAAAAATAGACAATTTTTGATTTCAAAACAATTGCGGCAACAAGCCTAAGTGTACATTATTTGCCTGATATTAGTTTTCACATATTATTTCCCTTTTTGTTGTTGTAAAAGTTTAAATATACC